GATTGTTGCGCTGACGGTCACGATGGGCATTTCGAAGTTCAAGACTCGGCACGCGTTCGGTTCAAGAAAGCGTCAGCTGAAGCTCGTACGCATGGCGAAGCTCACCTGCACGCCCACGCGCGGCGACAGTTGCACCGATGCTTCCGCTTCATCTTTTCAAGACAATTGCGTTGACGCTTCTAGCGACGAGACTTCTACACCATCGGCACAAGGATCCGTCGTGACGAGTGAGGCTGGTGTTTCGTGCTCAAGTGCGCCTGGTGTGTCGCGCTCGCCAACCGCATTGATTCCGGCCCCGAACAGTGAGACCGCGTCGTCGACTGTGCACTTCCAAACACGTTTTCGGACGTGCGAGGAGTTGGCGACGGCGGAGAGAGAACGTGCTGCTGTGCAACGAAAGCTTGGCGCTATGCCAGCGACCGAGAGGAAGTTTCAAGCGATGATGCCTGAACCCGAAGCTGCCACCGCTACGACCGAAGGCGAGAGATATTTCCTCGTGCAAGGGGATGCCCTTAGCGACATGCTGTCCAAGACCCCGTGCCCGCGCTGCCTCGCGACCGGGACGAAAGTTCAAGGAGGCACCCAGCTTGGACTTGCCACGAAGCTTGAGCTGGTATGTCCACATTGTGGAATAGTTTCAAGTTCGTGGAGCTCTGCTCGTCAGAACGAGTCAAGGGCCTTCGACGTGAATATAAGAGCCATTACGGCCATGAAACAAATAGGGAAGGGACAGACAGCCCTCAACGACTTTTGGGCAACTATGAATGTTTCCCACCGTGGCCTGCACCACAGAACTTTCCAGAGGCACCTGAAGCAATTCAGGGAACCACAGCAACAGACCCTGGATAAATTCTATGAAGAATCGGCTTCTGCTGTGAAAAAGGTGTACAAGGAGATGGACCCATCTTTCTGCAAGGACATTACAGTGAACTATGATGGCACGTGGCATAAGCGCGGACATACATCTCACATTGGAGTTGGTGCAATCATCGAGTATCACACAGGCCTCATCTTGGATGCTGTAGTTTTATCGAATCAGTGTCTCGGCTGCCAGGTAGGACCGAAGCCTGAAGACGAGGGCTATGCAAGCTGGTTGAAGCACCATGTGTTCCAAAAAAACACTGATGCCAAGTCTGGGAGGATGGAGGTTGAAGCAGCTGTAACTCTGTTCTCACGTTCACTGTCCAAGCATAACCTCCGGTATACAACCATTGTATCTGATGGGGACAGCGCCACATTCTCTGCCCTTCAACAAGACAATGTTTATGGGCTAGTCCCTATTGTGAAAGAAGAATGCTTGAACCATGTCCGGAAGAGGATGGGCACAGCCCTACGTAATCTTGTGCAGAAAAGCGAACAGGCTCTGGGAGGAAAGGGCAGATTGACAAAAGCCCTTATTGATAAACTCACAGACTATTATGGCTGGGCACTGCGGAACAATTCAAACAATGTGGCTGCAATGCAGCGTGCAGTGATGGCGTCATATTATCACGTCACCTCAACTGACGAGGATCCTCACCATGACTTGTGCCCGGAAAGTGCAGACTCGTGGTGCCGTCATAATGCCTGCAAGGGGAATGGCGTGCCACCTCCAAAGCACAAATACAATATTCCGGGCTACGTTGCAGAAGCGCTGCTGCCAGTCTACCAGCGCCTTTCGCAGGCTTCTCTACTGCAACGCTGCCTGGGAGCAAAGACGCAAAATGCATCGGAGCCATTCCATTCTGTCCTATGGTCCTTGATGCCCAAGGAGCAACATGCATCATTGATTGCTGTCGAGACAGCACTGCATGACGCAGTTTTGCGGTATAATGCCGGCTGCTACAGGGCCACCCAAGAGTTGTCGTCATCAGTGGGACTCGCACCTGGCCACCTAACCATTCAACGAGCTGCGGAGAAAGACTCTCTGCGTCTGAGAAAGGCTCAGAAACGGATGAATGAGAAGCAGGAAAAGCGGCAAAGAAAAAGAGAGCCTAAGGACACATCTAGCTACTCTGCAGGGTCATTTTAGACCATAATAAATGTTTGAAACTTTCGAAGTCAATTTTCTCAGAATGACTTTTTTGGCCAGTGAGGCTGCTTAGTCAGGTGATCTCTCTGGAACTGCTGGTCTGATTTCTATCAGGTTTTTTTTTTTTATTATGCACCTTAATAAATTGCCCAGGGCAAGACAAGCCCGCTTTTTTAATTTATTGTGTCTGTAATTTGTAATAATTAACTAAAACTTCATTGATGAGAGCCAAATTGTGAACACTAAATTCAGTGCTCTGTTAACATTTTTTGGCAAGGAAATTTAAAAAAAGGGCTCTGTCTTGCCCTAAAGCACCTATCCAGGAATCATCATAGTGAATTTCACAGCGCTAGCACATTTTTCAAATTCTCCAGACCCTGACTAAGGGACCCATGTGGACTACCCCGATAAATGGCTGTAACGTGGGAACCAGTGAACATAACTGCATGAAACTTTGTGGTTATTCAAATGGCTTTGCTATTAGTGTACCCTGAAAATTTCATTAAGATATCTCAACAAACAAAAAAGTTGCCCTTCGAAGGTAGCCTCCCCCCTTAATGAATGAAAAAATTAGTATCTGATGAGAATTATATTATTGATATGAAGTTGTAAAGGAGATAACAGCACTCTTTGTGTGTTAAGTAATATGCAAGAAAAATTTTGTCCAGATCAGGCCATCAGAAGTACAACCTAAGACGTTGTAAACAACTGTGTCTAGAGAGAAACACATTTCATTGGTGTAACTAAAAAGCTTGTATATGTGGCAGATATGCTTTTTAAAATTATTTTCTTCACGAGCGCTGGGGAATCATGATTATTTTGAGCATATGGCTTTGGTGAGCTCTTCAATGCGAAATGCAATGGCAAGAAGCCAGGTGGCGTTTTTTTAGGGAACCCTAGACAATGAGAATTTTCTCATTGTTAACAGCCAACTTACTGGCAATCATTCAGAGCTGTGTATGATGCTGCTGTCCCGAGAAAGAAAAAAAAAAAAAACACGTGCCAGTTTTCATAAGTCATGAACCTGCCCCATTTCATCTCTACAATCTCCAGAACATTGAGATTCACAGGTTGGCATATATTCTATATATATGTGAATGTTTTACACACTCAAACCTCGTTATAATGAAGCTGAAGGGGAGCTACAATTATTTTGTTTTTTTTATTTATTATTTTTTTATCCATTATTTCGTTATATCGATTGTAACAGTTTGTGGCAATGCATGCTCACATGGGCACACACCTATAAGCATGCAAAGAAGGAAACCGCCTTGCAGCCCGATGTACCGCTACGTGACCACGCGTGCCACAGAAAATAAACTCAGTTGAATCTCATTAATTCTAACTTTCGGGTTCGGGTAATTCGAACTCTTGCTGAGGTACCGTCAAAGCTATGTGTATTCCAACGGGCAAAAACGCCCAGTAATTCAAACGCGCAAGCACTTGCGACGGTTAATTCGAACATACCGCGCTCCGAAAACGCCCTCAGCACCATGCCCAATCTCGCGGCGGCACCTCTTAACGCTGCGCGCAAAGAAGGAAAAGAAGAAAAGGAAAGAAAAGACTGTGGTGGATTGTTTGCTCTCTCTCAAATGCCGATCTGCGACGCGCCTGTTCCACGCTTCTCCCTTTTCCGTCTCTGCGCGTAGAAACCCTTCTCCTTTCAAGGCCGCACGCGCAGAGAGAGAGAGAGAAAAAAAAAAGACCGCAGTTTGCAAAGTGGGAACACTGGTTAGCATGCGGAGCATATATGTCGAACTGTGAAAAATGTGGTTTGTAATTTGCGACATGCGTGTGTGTTATGAGTGAACACGCACGCACGTATGCTGCGAAAGACGATGTTTCACAGCTGCTTCGTGCTGGGGATCCTCCACTCGACGCTGACGTCTCGCAGCTGCTTCACATTCTCGAAGCTGGGGATCTTCCGCTTGACACCGACGTTTGCGTTCCGCATCGCGAGCTCTTTTCAGCGCGGCCTTGTCAACGGACGAAGTGTCTTCAGAATTGCTAGCGGTTCCGCCAACACATTAGCTGACGCTATTGGAAGGGACGTCAGTAAGTGTGTTTGCGGATTCGTTAGCATACATTTTCAGCAGCTACATCGAACGTGGGGCGACCACACAAATCAACCAACGAAGGGCGGCGCACCCCGACACTCTTATTTAATTAAGCGAGCGCCGGTCCTGGCCTGCACATGCGCGTGTTAGCATACAGCTGGCGCACGTAAAACTAAAGGTCGCGCGGCACGCGGAGGGGAGAAGTGAGCGCAGCAGCGGCGCGGTGTTCAGAGGAGGAAGGGATGTACAGATGGCTGGCGGAGGAGGAGGGAAGGCTGCGCCCCTAGTATAACATGCTCCACATGTAAAAAGAAAGCTGTCGCGGAGAATCCCCCTTTCCCAGTGCAGCCATGGTAGCAGCGGAGACGCAGTCGCTGCCGCCGTGAAAGGGAAATCACTCTGCACCGCGGCGCCGCTTCTCTGTCATGTGACCCGCTGAGCTATTCCTCAATCCTCTTTGCTGGCTGTGTGAGGAGGATGGCTCTCACGGCCGCGCTGGGCGTGGCTGTAGGTCGGCGCAGGAGTTTTGAAAGAGCCGCGCCGAACGAGCGTCAAACTCTGCAGTAAACGCTATACTTAACACACTACGGTTGTTTCTTTTTGATAGACTATTTGATAGACTAATTTAGTTCGTCATATCCATTTACCAGTTAATCTTAGTGAGTTACAACAAGGTTTAAAATGTATTGTTTGCAATGGAGTTTTCAAGGAGAATTTCATTTACTTCGTTATATCCCATTACATTGTAACGAGGTTCGAGTGTATAACATATGTTGCTGAGAGTTGTAACTACTGCAAATTAAAACAATATGCAGGGTTCTCTTCAAGCAAGTTTTAATAATGATCTACTGTACTCATGACAGTTGCCCCATTCGTCTTTTTTTCACTGCAATATGCAACACATGAAAAAAAAATTATATTTGTAAATTTACCTTTTAGACAAGGGCGCTCTGTCTGAGATCACATGGAGGGCCTTGCGCTCCGCACGTGGTGCTGTATTTGGTAATGCCTTTTCTCTGGCCCCTTTTGTTTCCTTTGTGTTTGCATCATGCTTTCCAGGTTTATCCTCCCGACTAACTTCTCTTGGAGGTTTTTCAGTTTTGCTTGTTTTCTCATCCTTGCCAGGGGTCTTTTCCTTCTCATCCCGAGAGACGTGTTCACTTTCATCATTAGGTTTCTCGTCTCTTGAGGCCTTGTCAATCCTGTCACCCACTGAATACTTTTCACCGTGACTCAGCTCCCCATCTTCACCCTTTTCCTGATCTTTTTCAGTGGTTTCATTGCAGGGTGGCATTTCTTCATTAGTAGGTTCATCATCTACAGCCTGTAGTTTAACTGGTGGCTCTTCAGAAGCTTCCTCCTGCTCTGTGACTGGAGATTCTCCAACAGATGCAGTAACATGTTCCTCTTCAAGCTCTTTAGGCTCAGATGGTGGTTCTTGAATGTCAGGTATCAGGTCCTGCACATATATAAAAGGGGAAAAAAAAAAGGTGATAAAAGGCTTTCAACGATTTGCTGATATTGGCAGACATCCTGTTTTGCAACTTAGGCAGGTATTAAAGGCCTTCAGAGTGAAACAAAAATAAAAAATAATGTTTTTACCAATGAGGATAAATTGGTGGAATTTGGCATGCAGATGATATCATGACTGAAATTAGCTTTGAGTTTATAGTTTCAGTTAAGACACTTGGTAGACTCTCATTATCATCCCCAGTTAGTTCATCACGATTATTAATAATAATTTTTTGCATTCCAAAACAATGGTATGACTACGAGAGGCTCCAGAAAGTTCTGCCTAGCCGAGTTTCTTTAACCCGCACATAGATATAAGCACACAGACCTATGCCTCGATCAAAATGTGGCAGCTGTGGCAAGAATCGGTCCTGCGACCTTCGGTCGCGTTGGTCTAGGCGCTAAAGTACTCGGCTGCTGACCCGCAGGTCGCGGTATCGAATCCCGGCTGCAGCGGCTGCATTTTCGATGGAGGCGAAAATACTGTAGGTCCGTGTGTTCAGATTTGGGTGCACGTAAAAGAACTCCCAGGTGGTCGAAATTTCCGGAGTCCTTTACTACGGCATCTCTTATAATTAATAAGGTGGTTTTGGGACGTTAAACCCCACATATCAATCAATCAAGCACCCCAACCACTAAACCTGCTTCTATTGCTGTGCATGTCCGACCACTACACAGCTGGAAATGATTTTTAACGAAAATATAGTTCGCTCTCAACTGCTAAGCATGCAGAATATACCTTCAATGCCGCAGTAGAAATGCTCATGGAAGGCTCGAGGACAACATTCGTAGGGCCCCATTTGCGCTTCCGCTGTGGACGCTCCTCCTTATCTTCAGAATCCTTTTTCAAGGCTGAAGAGAAATAAAAAGTTTTCAAAGTTCACATGCCACTTGATAATAAATCAAACTTTTCCACATAAAATTAAAAAAAAATAAAAACAAGGCAGCTTATTATAAGGTGCAGAACTACTAGAAGACCAATATAAACTATTGTTACTAGTTGTTTTGAGATCAAGTTTATTAAAATTCATTTTTGAACAGCTGGAGTTTACAGCCTGCAAATAAAAGAAAATCATCATACTGAATTCCGAGCTGTTTGGCAATTGCATAACACAGAGCACTAAAGGCCCAGATATATTCCACGGCAGCTACGTGTACCGCTACGCACAGCACAGTGAACCTTTTGTAGGTATGCCTGTATTTTTGATATGGCAATATCAAAACTGGCTACGATATATTGACATTAACTGCAAAGAAATAGTTTAAGACAAATTTAATCAAAATCAAGCAAGTACTAGTTTGTCCCACTGGCTCGTGAGAGTGCTTTCAAAAAGAGAGAAAACAGTGACTCATGTAGGCACAATCACACAATTTCATCAATTGGGTATTTGGGACAAAATGGCTGAAGCAAGTGGCACAGTGTCCTTTCTCAAGTTGTGCAGAGGAAAGTAGTGCACACCCAATTTATAGCAGTGCAACACCACATGCACCTTTTGTGAGCCTTCACAGCACTCTGGTTTGTTCTTGCAAAGCTTACTTCACAGCATGAATAAACAACAAGAGTGATTGCGTTACAGTAAAATATCGATGATAAGAATTTTAAGGTTGCTTTGGGTGGACTACATTGTAGAAAATACGCCGTGATTCAGTGTTATACAACGGTTTCCCCAGCTACTGTAAACGATACGAGCACGCGACTGACCGCTGCACGCAAGCGGCGCAACGCGGCTTGTCTCTGGAAGGAAGGCCCGTTCACAGATGGCCTCGAAGGGAGCGAATTTTCCTTACTTCGCTGCCAGAAAAGTGGCCGGAAAATAATGCCACGAGGCCGAGGCGGAAAAAATCGCTCCGAGAAAATTTTTTTCCATCACGCTATAGCGGATTGCCTTTCTGCTGCAGTTTTGGCTACACCGGCTGCACTAGCTCTCAAACCACTGCAGCTTCCTTCATGCATGCAAATAAGTTTATTTTATAAGATTTGCTGTTGTTTGTGCATAAATTGATGGTTGAGTTGTGATGGTCACTATAACGAAAATCATGCCTTTTTTCGGAAAACTCCGAAACGAAAACCACCCAAGGATAGAGCCCCAATTCCTGACTTATCCACGTCAGATGAGGCACCCAGCAGCCCACCAAAAAAATAAAAAGGAAAAAAAAGGAAAAGATCGAGAGCAAACCAAACAAATACAACAAACACTCAGAAACCCGCAGAGACACGTGCAAGCGGCCGTAAAAGCTTCTATGAACGCGGCCTGCGTCGCTAGATCCCACGCCTTGTACAAGACCGGACAGCCACTCCGAATCTTGAGAAAAAGAAAACGGACGCGCGTCAGAAAAAAAGCAGTTTTACGTGCATACGCTGTCTCATTAAAAGCGCATTAAACAAACTTTGATCTGCGCCTACATAGCCCTTATTGTTACTTGGCTTACTCTTCTAACCACGAGCAAGTATTTACAAAAAAGAAATTAACGAAACGCGATCCAAAGAACAGCAGCACGCCGGCATAACTCGCGTTGCGCGTACCGCAGCAGACGACCTCCTTCCGGGACAAGCGGCAGCACTTCCGGTGGCTTTGCAAGCTCCCGCTTCGGGTAACGCCGGTACGCCATCCAGCTCCCTAGTGGAGGTCAGCGATTCGATTGATTGATTGATTGATATGTGGGGTTTAACGTCCCAAAACCACTTCATGATTATGAGAGACGCCGTAGTGGAGGGCTCCGGAAATTTCGACCACCTGGGGTTCTTTAAAGTGCACCCAAATCTGAGCACACGGGCCTACAACATTTAGGTCAGCGATTCGAGGTGCCATTTTGACTTTGGTTACGGTGATAGGATGAACATGCCTGGAGGACCCAAAAAGTATCATTCGGTGTATCAGTTCAGCCGAAGGCGAGCCAAAATAAAAAAAAAACGTGCTTACGGCACGGTGTCACGGGTTGCCGCGACCGATCAGCAAGCTGCCGTTGTTGCTTCAGCGCTCGATAACGGCGATGGAGGTGATACCGGTCTGCTCTAGAAAGGCACTACAACCGACGAGCAGGCGACTCGCGGTGTCGGGGCATCTGACATCGTCAGCGCAGGTGATAGCGGTCTGCAAGATGCGAGCATGCCATCGCGCGGCTCTACAAGCGATCAGCAAGCGACGCGGCTGATAGAAATCTGCCCAAAAACGACGGCATTATTCGCGCCGGCTCTAGACGTGTGCGAGTTGACGCTAGAGCTGTCACGAGCACCGAAATAGCGCAAGTAAGTTCTCATGAGCAGGACATTCTTCATAAACTTGAGTCGACACTGGCAACAGCGCGAAAGACTGCAGTTTTCACCGGTGCAAGCGACGCATCATCTGACTCTGCCGGGGCCCTGCAGCTCCGTATGTGATGACTGACATGGAGGTCCTGAATGAGCTGCTCGCTGCTTCCCTACGCTACAGAGTATGTGGCGGGTGCGCAAAATTAGTCACGGGTGACCGCGACTACGGCCTCGCTAAAAAGTGATCGTGAAGTGCGACTGTGGTGGTGAAGTCACGACGACATGGAACTCGTGCCGAGTCAATGGTGATAAGTCCTGCAATGCATTTGCGGTAAACATCTTATCCACGCGTGCGATGCTCTGCTGCGGGAACGGCCAGACAGCCATGAACCATATTTTCGCGGCGATGGGACTGTCGCGGTGGGGGCTGCACAATAAGACGTTTCAACGGCACTTGAAACAAACCTTAGAACCGGCCGCCACCCGCCCTGCCGCGAACGTTATGACTCGGTGCGCGAGTGAAGTAAAGGAGTTATACGAGAAAATATGTTTTGAGCACAAAAATAAAATTTCCGTGCACTATGACGGCACTTGGTTGACAAGGGGGCATTCCTCTCACATTGGTGTTAGAACGGTTGTCGAACTGTTTACTGGATACGTGATTGACTACCATGTGATGTCCAACTTTTGTTTGGGTTGTGAGAACGGCCCTAAGCCAGGCAGTGAGCGCTATGATATCTCAAAGTCAAGCCACCAGTGCCAGAAGAATTCAAGCTGCAAGTTTGGCCAAATGGAGGTAGAAGCCGGCAAAATTTTGTTTGAGCGATCACTTCAGCGGCATGACTTTCGTTACACTACGGTGTTGTGCGATGGTGACAGCCGTACATACAACGCCATAAAAAAAGCAAAAATTTCTGGCTAGTTTGAAGTGGAAAAGGAGGATCGTGTAAACTACGTCAAGAAACGTATGGGTACTGCACTACGCAACCTAGTGCAACAACACAAGGGGGAAGGCAAACGAAGCCTTGGTGGCAAGGAGAGATTGACTGCCGAACTGATCGACAGGTTGGCTGTCTACGATGGGCAAGCGCTAAAATCGCACGTAGGTGATGTTGAAGCCATGAGCTGGGCAGTGATGGCAACGTTTCGTCACCTCACCTCTACTGACATTGCCCGAACCACCAATTGTGCCTAACTGGTGAGCAATCTTGATGCCGCCACAACGCAGCAAAGGCTAAAGGGGTGCCTGAGCCCAAGCACAAATATAATTTGCCTAGTGATGTGGCTGCAGCTCTCTTGACGGTTTACCAGCGATTGTCGGAGAGGAGACTGCTGCAAAGATGCCTCAGGGGAAAGACCCAGAGCTCAAATGAGTCTTTCCGCTCTAATCTGGAGCCTACTGGCAAAAGAGCAGCACTGGTCGTTGATTACAGTACAGGCAGCTGTAGCGGAGGCTGTGCTCCATTTTAATGCTGGTAATGAGCACTCTGCCACGGCCATGCTAGCAGAATTGAATGTGGACATAACACCTACTGGGTCCAACAGGGCAAAAGGAAAGGACCTGCGGCGTAGCACAAATTCTGCTAAAAATAAGGGCAGCCTCACTTGGCCTTACAAAGGCAGTGAATAAAAGACACCATAACAAAATGCATCCCGATTACTCCCCTGGATCATTTTGAGATACATTTTTGTGGAAGGAGTGTGTGTAAATAACTTTTTTTTTACCCGTTTCCCCATAGTGGCATTTCTGATGGTGTAATATTGGAGCAACAATATCTCTAGTTCTACACAACCAGTCTAAATAATTCTTTTTTTGTCAGAAAAGTGGTGAATTGACAAGTGCAGTAGGACTGGTATATAGTTACATATCGTTGAAAAACATTTATAAAAATAATCATTTGAGAAGGTATTATAGGGTTTTAGAAGTAAGTTTTGAGATGCCCTAATTTAATTCAAAATTGTTGTAAAATATTCATTCTTGCCTGATTGAACCCGTGTATCATCCTTTATCACTGTAATGTTGCAGATTTCCATAATCATTTCTAATTTGTCTGGAAATGTGTTTTGTCGTTTTCTCAAAATTTGATCATGTAGTTTTGGAGTGACCATATCTCTGGTCATACCTATCCTATCAATTGATTCTTGTTTTTTTAGAAAAGGGGACAAATGGGGACTGCAGTAGGCCTAAAATTTGAATAAATAACATGAGACATGTTTTCTAAAAGTAACAATTGCTCCAAGGTGTTACTGAAGCCTTCTGCTTGCAAATGTTTGACATGCTGTAACTTCGGCCCAAATCACTCCAGAACATTCATTTTTGTGCCACTTCAAGCTCTGACAACACAGGATCATTTTCATATGCCAGTGTCTTTGATGACAACCAGCATTAAAGAGAAAATATAACTGCCAATTAGCCAATTAAAAAACACAAATTTCTCCATATTTTTGAAACGTACTTGTTGCAGAGAAAACGTAATTGCATATTTGAAATCAGCATGTCAAAATACATAAAGCATGCAAGTTTGATCAAAATGTACCTATAAATTAAAAAGTTGTTTCTGTAAAGTGGGGTGTCTTCCTTAAGGGACCAGAAGAGAGCAGAGTGGGTCAGGGAACAAATTGGAGTTAAGGATATCATAGTTGAAATCAAAAAGAAGAAATGAACATGGGCCGGGCATGCAGGCAGAATGAGTGCTCCTCATAAAGAGAAACTGACTGGATTTCCAGAGAAGGCATACGCACAAAGGGAAGACAGAAAGTTAGGTGGGCCGATGAACTTCGCTAACGTGGCAGCAGAAAGCACAAGACCGCGTTGATTAACAGATCATGGGTAAGGCCTTTGCCCTGCAGTGGGCATAGTCAGGCTGATGATGATGCCGTCCTTATGGCTTTTATTGTGAATAAGGCTCCCTCATGAAGTGCCGAAAGGTCAGTAAAACGGTGTTTTTTCGGTGGGTGTATCCATTTTGCATTTGCCTTAAGAAGCAACAATTAGGCACAGCCTTTTTTTCCCACTACTTCAAGCTGTTCACTGTTGTCAGCCGAAGGAGCAACTTTTTAAGCTTTGATCAATGGTAATGCGTTTTAATTCCGACTTTTACAGGTTTGTAGACACCCTGCCAGTATACTTGTCAGTCATTTTAGGGTGCACACACACTACAGTGTATACATTCGGTACGCGCTACGAACTCCACTTAACTACGTAGAAACTCTCAATTTTCTTTTTTTTTTTTTCATCTCGCCCCGCCGCCGTGCTCTAGTAACTAAGGTAGCTGCTTTTTCGATGAAGGCGAAAATGCTGTAGGCCTGTGTGCTCAGATTTGGGTGCACGTTAAAGAACCCCAGGTGGTCGAAATTTCCGGAGCCCTCCACTACGGCGTCTCTCATAATCATATGATGGTTTTAGGACATTAAACCCCGCATATCAATTAATTCCATGCTCATGTGCAGTCTCTTCTTAAAAAGGTTTCTTTCGGTATTCATGCCACTCTGAAAGCACGACCATACTTTCTACCACATGTTATCCTGTCACTATACTATTCTTGCATTCACAGCCACCTTTCATATTGCTTATCATTTTCGGGAAACACGTACAACACACATCTAGATAATCTACGACACCTCCAAAACCAAGCGGTGCGGCTAATGAAGTTCAGCCGTACCTTTGTCGCTCCATCTCCCTATACGTTGACCTAAACATACTTTCGCTTAACGAATTATTTACTTTAAAATTAGCAGTCATGTTTCGCTTTATTAATCACGATGTGCACATAGAAAATTTCTCACCTGAAGTTTTGACTAATAATAATAGAACTCAGTTCTCTGTGCGTGAGAATTTCCATTTACCTACAGCTCGCACAAACTATGGAAAAATGACTGCTAAATTTGCTGGTGTGTCCTTCTGGAACTCAATTCCTTCTGAAATTAAACAATCTTTCACGACAAGCTCATTTTGCCGACGAACCAAAATACACTAAATCCCTGAACTAACTAGAACATGTTAGATATAGGTGCAATTAAGAAATTGAAATTGGTTCATTTTTTTACTTTCTGCTTGTTTAGCACTGCTTTGAAGAATTGTACGTTATATGTGTAATAACAATGTCGTTACTCCTATAGTGTATTTGGAGATGTACAGCACCTCTAAAGAAAACGTAGTTCTATGTATGGTTTAGTTCTGATTTTCTAATTATTGAAGACGTGTTTATCTTTGTATTTTTGAAAATTGAGTAAAGTGTTTTTGTTCATTTTGTTCAGGCTACACATTGTTTTTAGAACTTTGTCACAACGCCAATTGTCTTCTGCATATTATGCATCATCTTATTCACAAAGTGTTAGGAGGTCCCCCGACAGTTTTTACTCTGGGACCTCCTCATGTACTCCGCTTATCTGTTCATTTATATGTATGCTTACCCTTCAATAAACTTCAAAGTTCCATCACTGCTCATAATAATATGGTGGTTTTGGGATGTTAAACTCCACATATCAATCAATCAATTTTTGCATCTAGGGATGAGTGCCGCTGATACACACAAAGGCTGTGATGCGCGCTTGTAGAGTAGAGTAGAGAAGAGCAGAGTACATGTTTGGCTTTCCCCGATACATGTCACCATGTAAACAGTGCCATTGTAGAAAGATTCTGTAATGCATGGCATTTGGTGCCATGTGAAACCAATCGGACCTAGTTGTGGGTAGCATATCACCAACTACTGACACAACGAATACAGGCGCTTGATGTACTGTAAACACACATTAATGATGCCCAATCCGTTCTTGACTGCGCAAGTGTATGGGCGATGGCAAGCTGTTTTTGTTTGATAAGGCAACATGTCTGTGTGGGGCACTTAGCAGTAACGCACGAAGAGGCAGCGTGAAAAGAGGCTAGGCTAGGTCACATGCACGACTAAACAGTTCGCTTAAGATCCTCATCAAGCAGATGTCCCTCATAATCATTTCGTAGTTTTAGCATGTTAAAACCCAACAAGTATTATTATGATCATGTATTATTAATGATTAGGCAGAACTGGCACGTTTGCTGCCTGCCGCCATGACACCTCTGCACATTTCTAGTGTTCATCAGTAAAGACATCGCCACAGTGCCCTGCTACAGTGGCTTCTTGAAATCTTCAATTAGATTCACTCCATCAGGCTCAAAGGGGCCCTACAAAACCTCTTTAAGTAGGCATAGAATGCATTCCCAAAAGGAGTTTGTTGCCTCACGAATTCACCACTAGAAAAATTTTCGGAATCAGTCCAGTATGAGCCGAGTTGAAAAGATTTATTGCACGTCGCAATTGCATGCTCTCTTCTCTCATCCTGACATACAAAGCTAAGCCGGGAGGGATGGCACAGGAAAAAAAAAACACATCCTGCGCGTCTAGCGACTTCGAGTTCTTTCTCTCTCTCTCTCTCTTTTTTTCTTTTAGAAAATGTGGCTTGTCAGTGTAATTGGATGCAAATTCGTGGACAAGTCGCGGCCCCTTGTAACGACTGAGTGCACCATGCTCAATTCAGCTAATGGCTGATACAATGGCTGCGACGAGTGATTTTTGAGCTTGTACAGTCATTTGTCGAGAGAAGAGAAAGCAATTTTTAGCTGACTTTCAGAATTTATTGTGAACTCCAGGCTGCGTGCTGCGCGATATTTGGCTCGAGTGTTCTCAGGAGCCTCAATTACCGATCGGCAGCGTTTCCTGACCATGCCCGAAAAGTGTTGCAGGGCTACTTTAAGCATTATGACAAAGCTGCCTTTCGATTTCTGCTACAGCCACAAATTAATCGACTCTGGAAAGTGCTGGTCAGCACGGCAGAAGTGGAAGCTGTAATGAATGCCATTTTGCTCCGACAGTGCAGGCAGGAAGTTCAAAAAATCGCTTACCGAAGACATTAAGGGTCTGAAATTTTGGACGTTCTTAAGCACTGATGTCTACAGGACTCACGAAGATGCTGCATGATTCAGAATTTACAAGCATGTCCGAAATATTGGCAGAAGTCTGCAATAAAATGGCTCCCTCTCTCCAACATTCATCAAAACACTGAGGCCATGGCCCATGCACTGCACCTCAGATGAGTTTGAATACCGTATTTACTTGCGTAATGAACCCCCTCACATGATGAACCCACCCCTCACCTTGGCACTTGAAAAAATAAAAAAAATGTTTCTGTTGATTTATTTCGGTGTCATAGCCGATGCCAATGATAATAGAAACATTAGACAAAGCCATTATGTCACAAAATAATGACGCAATAAAAGTCAAATCATAGTTTCGCAGCCATGCTAAACAGTTGCGAGTAGCGCGAAAGCAGACGATGTCAATCAAAATTAAAAAGTCGCGCTTTTTGCGCAAGAGCACCATCTGTCGAATGCAGCAGAAACCTCTTTGCTTATAGCGTGACGCAAGCACAGCGGCACAAGAACAAAGCAAAAAATAAAAAAAAAAACAAAGGAACAAAGCAATGGCCTTCAAGGTGGTGAATGCACGGCGTTAATACGCCACGTGCTCGCTATCTTAGAGGCCACGCAAAGCGCCCACTGTGCACTCCGCCTACGGCGTGTTGCCCAAAACTTTTGTGCCCCGCCATTCGACGCTATGACTTTGTTGTCGCGTTTGTCGTAGTGAACTTGGTTGGGCACAACTGCTGTGCAGGGCGCGCTCGGCCGGTACGTTAGCCGCACAGCTGGTTGTAAAGCCGGTCGAGCATGCGCTGAAGCATGGGAACCAAGCGGCTCGAGGACACTTCGGTGTTGATCCGTGCCCGTTTGTTACGGAAGAAAACAAGAGCTTTGGATTATAACAACATTCGCCGTGCATTTTGCGAACCAAAACACGCAAAACCGTCATGCAACTTTTCGCTGTTATAACTCCCGTGACTTTTTTTTTTCTCCTGCGTAATCAACCCTTTCCCCAACTTGACATCAACTTTTTTTTTTGGGAAAAAAAAAAGTGGGTTCATTAGACGAGTAAATATGGTACAATATAGACAGGGCCTGAAGTTTATGGGATGTAATATCCACGAAAAACTTCAATATTACCACTGTTTTATCTGGTAACTATCAGAAAACTACAACAATGTGTTGGTTGTGGGTCCAGGCACGTGAAATCTCTGAGAGACTGTATCAATTAAAATTAGAGATTGTTACTGATAATCACAGTAAACATGATTTAAATAACAAACCTGCAACCGACATCTTCCTGGTTTTAAACTTGGGTGGCGATGCCTCCGATGCCAGCTGGCTCTCCTCATCATCCTTCAAAGATATAAAAGCAAGTTAGGTCCTATAGGGACAAAAACAGTATGTTCACCCACCTTCATTTCTACATCTTCAGGAATGCTTTCTTTGGATGGCCTCTCCTCTCTATGAAAAGAATTCAACATCCAAATTAACTTACATGCACTAACATTTGCTATGTAGCTTGCAAAAATTGACTAACAAATGTATGCATTATTTTGTAAACAACGAAATTGATAATCAACACAAGTCAAAATGAAATCATGACAACTACTCGTGGCGATGTCAAAAGTTCCCTAACTACAGCATGATGACATGGACTGTTCGCAACACAGGCTCAAAGTACTCCTCATTACTGTGGGTACTATTGCCCCTGTATAGTTGTTTTTGATGCATGACACCTGTGCATTGTGCTTAGCAAGCATAGATAGCCGAGTTGCTGCCACGAGACAGGTGGCACTGTGCAGCCGAGATGGCACCACTGACACTGCTTGGTGGTAGTGAAGCGAGGTCACGTAGGCGGATGAGGAGAAGAGCGAATTCTTTTTTGGCCATGGCATGCGGGTGGTTCTCTCTCGCAGGAGGTCCGCAAGTACAATTTGTGCCTTTGTATCACGGGCTCCAGTGGCAAGCCAAACGTTGACAACCTTGCATTAATGGTACATTCCATTATTTGGCATCACTGCAGTTATTTTCAAGACTCGGCTGGTCAGCTTGCCGTTATGTAAAAGCTGTTTATAAATGTCCACGTGTTCATTGAACTACAGCATGACTGTGCGTCCGTTAGAAGTTCTCTTGAGACCCAAAATATACAAGAGAAAGTCCCATACTGTCTATGTAATTATCTGTGAAGCAACAATGCAGCAGTACTGGGCCTTACCTGTACTTGAAGGCATTAGCACCAAAACAACTGCAGTAGTAAAGCCTTTATTATGAGACCACAACTTCTGAAGCACTCGCATTTGTTACTCAATCTGGATGTACTTACATAGTGCCACGCGGACCAAACAAAGGGACACACATACAGCAGTCTTTTATTGTTTACGCCATTCTTGTAATGAAGCTGAATAGCTGCTATGTCTTGTTTGCCCATTTAAACACTTAAAAACTGCCAGTGTAGTATTTTGTGAAGGCTCCTTTCCCAATCATGTGCAATGAGGTAACTATCTGCATTTAATGGACGATCCTGACAAGCAGCCAAAGCAGCGGCGTGGTGTGTATGCCCGTAATTGAGTTCCTCACACGCTCACATGCTTGCCGTAACATTCGCGGCGGCACGGAGAGCACATGTTCGTATGTGCAGGCCAACTCACATATCAACAGCTGCAGAGAGAAAATCAATGCTAAAGAACCTTACTCTAGCACATTATGGGTTAATGGGCCCTGGCAGGGACACAAAAATTTCTCTAAACCCCAGATGCATATGAAGTGATGGTAAAACCAAGTCTTTACACTGCCCTTCACATATGCAGAATGGCAAGTTTGGTTTAACAAAAGGTACCTCATTGCTTCTCTGAAATAATACCCTAACTACTTGGGCACACTAGCCCCAGAAGACAAACCCCAGTTAAAGCTAACCCCAGTTTGCACAAACCGCAGTTATATAGAAGGCCTCATTACAGTTGTCCAGCTAAGTGTGGTTGCTCCAAACCAATGCTGACCATCCCAGTCAAAGGAATGGTCGCACCAAGTTTTAAGGCTGTAGAAAGCCTACTGTAGGCTTCCTCTGTATGCAAGGACTTTCAGCTTGAAATGTTGAACACTGCAAACATTTTAGAATTAATTTATTCAATTGAAAAGTGTGCCTAAATGTTTATTTTTGTGATTGAGACCCAGAAGTAGCACAACAGACACCATCATCACTGTGTAGAAAGTGTAACGGAAGTTTTAGTGATGTTGATTGATTGATATGTGGGGTTTAACGTCCCAAAACCACTATATGATTATGAGAGACGCCATAGTGGAGGGCTCCGGAAATTTAGACCACCTGGGGTTCTTTAACGTGCACCCAAATCTGAGTACACGGGCCTACAACAAGTTTTAGTGATGTCAAACTACGTTAAAGGGACGTGCAGTGCTTCGTTGCCCTAGGCAAGCTAAGAGAGCATCGACTGCAAATTATGCAATTTTTTCCGAGTTTGTTGTCGAAGCAGCCAAATCTGCTCGCATTTTGAGAAGTGCTTTGTATAGTCACGTGAACCTGCAAAGTGGACGTTAGAGAAGTTTAGTTTATTTAGATATTTCTTTGGCGTATTGGGCAGCCAAGGCCACAAACATGAGCGAGAGAAGCCTGATAAATGGGGCCACATGATGGTGTTAAGATGAAGCAGGCAAGCAGAGAATTCTGTTGCAGAAACCTAACATATTCTACTTCTCTGCAAGTGTAAATTCTTGGCAATAGTGTAGTTTCGATTGCATTGCCTTTTTAAAAATTTTTTTTCAGAAACAAGACACTTAAAATTATGACTGCACGAAGCGTCACAAGATGTCAATAGTATCATCCAGTAACCGCACAACAGGAACATCTCTGTGCATACCAGAATACAGAATTCTCCATCGGAGAATTTTAGCAAATGTTGGAGGCATCTGGACGGTTAGTTGTGCGTGTGCAAAGAAGACGATGCAGCACTGTGTGCATCACAGCATTGTGGGCACGCCTGTTCCCGCTTCCTACCCAGTGACGTCAGTGTCCAACTTGGCACCCAGAAACCGAAACAGAAAGTCATTCACATGAATAAGGCGATATTCAATTATATTTAGTGAGAATACATGAACCTTGGAGCAAGCATTAAGTTTCCTGGAGCAACAAAGCGAGAATACATGAGCCTTGGGACGACTGCTTTTTGTTACGCACCCCTCCGTCCTTCGTCCCCTCGCTACTCTGAGCACCCTACATCGCCAGACGAGGCCCATGTTTTCACAGTGCCACCGGATATTTTCAAGACCTGTCGGCCATCTCCCTGTTTTTGATCGCTGGTACTGTCGTTGGCGTCGCCGGCCACCGACTGTATCCGATAGTCTGCGTCTAGTGCACGCGCGTACGCTACCCCACCAACTCTGATAATTTACGATTCATTTCGTGTTTAGGACTTGTTCGCGCTCACTTCGCATTCGGCTCAGCACGCCTTCCGCGCTCGTGCGGAAGGGCGAAAACGGCTGTTAATTTGCACGGAACGAATTGCAAAATATCGAAGTTTGTGAGGCCACGCAAACCCGCCGGCGCAACAAAACAATTTTTTTACCACGGCCGCCGATTCTTTAACACTGCCATGCGCACCGATCCGAGCGGCTATGCTTTGACTTCTGCGCGCGCAGGCATCCAAGTTTTTCTATGTGCGAGTTTCGCGGAACTTTCAAGCAAGCTACCCAACCTGCCTCCTTCCCGTGTGTTTTGGTTTTCAAGGTCGCCCTCCCGCCGCATCCTCCTCCAACTTCTTGCCCTTCTCTCGCAACTCTGCTCTCCTCTCTTGATCACAACCGCCCCGCCGCGGTGGTCTAGTGGCTAAGGTACTCGGCTGCTGACCCGCAGGGCGCGGGTTCGAATCCCGGCTGCGGCGGCTGCATTTCCGATGGAGGCGGAAATGTTGTAGGCCCGTGTGCTCAGATTTGGGTGCACGTTAAAGAACCCCAGGTGGTCTAAATTTCCGGAGCCCTCCACTACGGCGTCTCTCATAATCATATAGTGGTTTTGGGACGTTAAACCCCACATATCAATCAATCAAATCTTGATCACAACCCCTTCGCCCGTCTCCACCGCTCCGCGACGCCCGCCACGCTGGCTCGAATTAGTTTCTTTTTCTGACTGGAAACGGGCCCAGAGCTGTTCCACGCGTTCTGGCATGCATGTCGCGTGTGCGAGTCTTGCTCGCTCTTGGTGTGCATGTGTGGTCATGATGGCCGACGGGAGGACTAGCACGCTTTTTCGCGCCGCTCAACAAAACGCCAAAAGTGTGACTGCTTGGCTTGAGTGTAATCCGCGCGTTAGGTGCCGCGTTGCGGAGCGCTTGCTCATAGCTGTTGACCACCTGACAGCCAACTTGTCGCTTCGGGCGTCCCGGTATTCAGCTGTGGAGATGGTGAATATTTCGTGGGCGGCGGTGACAACTACATGCGTGCGAAGCTGTTTTCGCGAGGCCGACTTCGTCGACATCGGGCCCGATGCCGAGCATGAAGCTTCCGAACTGTGGTGGCGATTTGTGGCAGCGCGTCATCGACTCCGACCTGGGAGAGCGAGTGGGACATCTGTTGCAATGGTTTAATTACGGCCGATAATGATGCCGACACTGCGGAATCGTGCACAAATTGGAGCATTGTGAATGAAGTACGTGGCGAGAGCGATTTGGAGGAATAGGATTTGAGAACAACAAAACTTTGGAGCCAGTGCCCCATGCAGCTTATGCCACGGGCCTCAGCGAACGAGCACCCTGCTGTTTTAAATAAACTCGAGACCGCCCTTATCGCTTTTGCTCTTCGAAACACGTGCACATGGACTTTTTGGGGCAAAAAATTTTGTGTTTTCACTCGCAACTTTTTTAAAAGCTGTGTTTCATTTACTATGAACTTCGGGATACAGCGAACGGATGCCGCGTCACGCTCAGGTTCGTTATAAGCGGGCTCGACTGTACTAAACAAAGTATGACTTAACCTATAGTTGTGAGACCAGCCTGTACTTGAGCCAAATATTGCCAAAGCACTTGAAGCAATGAGCTAGGGGACTGCAAATGTGAACAGGAAGAGTTTATCCTAAACAAAATATATTTTATCTGCCAGTATACTTACAAAAAGCAGACAAATCTTTATATTTTTATTTGCAAATCTGAGTATAATGCAACCTGCTTTAAAGCCCATAACCAAGGACAACATTTCTTGTGTAACAGGTAAAAACTGCCACTGGTTGTGACTGTTGTTCACTCCAGTTAACTGATGTTTTTCGTAACCAATTGGCATGCCTGCGTAGCTAAGGTTATACATTTTAAAGGGACACTAAAGAACAATGAAAGTTCGGTTGGATTGACACACGGGCAGCGTACAGGTTTACTGCCACTTTCTACAAACCAGGAATCTGTTGCATCAGATTGCCAGTGCCATCAGACTACTATCAATTGCTCAAGCAAAAAACTAAGTTAAGACATGTTTATGAAAAAGAGAATCAATGTCAAGAAAGAACAGTTAAATGGATCAGTTGTTACATGAAATATGAAAATATCTTTGTCTGTCATTGCTACTTCAAGAAGACTATAGATAAGTTATGCATATTATCGCTAATAATGCAAAATGCCTCTATAATGAAGTCCACTATAATGAAGTTTTCACTACCACGAATAATTTTCGATTCCCTGTCAGGCCACACACAGAAAAGAATGTGACAAATGTCTCATCACAACAAATACTTTTCCTGCTAGTACCAGAGCAGTTCCCCCCATCGCATTAAGATGCTTGGCAACAGATCTCCCATCCACCATATGATGCTACCAGTGGGTTTGATGCGTGTGCAGGGCGGGGTAGAACCATTCAACTTTAGTCAGGTTCTTGATGTAGCACTAAAAATAAAACTACCACTCATCATCACTAGCCCAGTGATCGAGAACGACATCCGTGGCGTTATGAGGGCACATGCGAGGCCAGCGCACACTTAGTCCAAGCGTATTACATCCGGCCGAAACCGTTGTTTACACAAATACGGTTGGTTGCCTCAACACGATCATGGGTGACCAACAGTACATGCGCATCCAACGCAAACCGACTTGAAGCAATGCTGCTCGCCTTAATGCTGCGGACATACAGTAACAGCGGTAGGTGCGATCACAGATAGCAATCACGCAGTTCTGCAGGCTCATGCACTGCCAGCATGCGTAGATTGAAAATGAAACGGACCATTTGCTGCAAGTGTTGTGCAGGAAACTGTGGTCTCCATTGTTGCGTTTACTGATAATGAATACGGTCTAAAGGTATGCAGCTAAGACAGTCAAAGATTAATGCAAAAAAGCCATAAACAGAAGGAAGTACAATGGCGTTCCTGTCATTGGTGTATGGTTAATGTAGTTCAGAGCTTTTCAGTTGTCCGCTAGCAAAGCTTTAGCACACTTGCTCACGGCGCTGAATGCTCCGCACGCTCAAGGGACTAAAAGGCCCGTAAACCACCCAGAGGTTGAAATTCAGTTGTGGTGGGGAAATTGTACATGAGTGTACGACAAACACGGAGCCGGAAGAATTTTTCGAAAGGGTGCAGTACTAGCGGAGTTAGACGAGTTTGATTATCAAAACCGTGACTACCACACCTTTCGCTCTCTCCTGCACTTCCATCCACTGGTATCCCTCTCCCACGCCACTTTGCCCTCTCGCCGAGCACCCTTCCCTTGCCTCTACCAATCTCGCCTGGCATACGTCATCGCTGACGGGTCTCTTGAAACACCGTCTACATCCGGCTGCTGCAACTCCAGCCGTCGACTCGGTCAGTTGCACTATAGCTGCGTGCTTGTTGGCGAACCATAGCTGCTGTAATCGTGCTGGTATGGACCCTCCTTTGCGTGCATGTCTTCAAAGGATCGTCTATGCGATGGACCTATACGAGGACACGCCTGCACATGTTGCACGCACGCGGGCGACACGACGAACAACAAGCAGCACGGACAGCTGTAGCTGTTTGCATGCTGACCGGAAGTCGTAGGTTTTTGCGCGACCAATCACAGCATATTTGGCTCGGCGCATTAGAGATGTGGCATGGCGCGTCACGTGGATGTTCGGAAGGCCCGGAAAGGAAGAGGGATTGTTCTTAGAATTTTTGGCGTGCCGGCGGCTTGTAGCGCTGCCACGTATAGAATCATTGGTCATGATGGCATTCTGCGCACGATGCGCGCGTTTACCTGAAATGCTTGAAAAAAATATAAGAGGTGGTTTGGGCCCCACCCCCCTTTAAGGAACGCTCTCAGGCCAGGCCACCCCCTCCCCCCCCCCCAAAAACTACAAAACGCAAGAAAAAAAAAGAAGTCATTGGTGTGTTAACTCAGTGCCACCTTTTTTTTACATTACTATGATGGCGTGCCGTGAAGCCAACTTCTGCACTGAAATTTGTGTATCACTGGTACCCCAAGTTTAGGGCCAAATTTGTTGTATATTTTGTCAGTGTTATAAGCAAGAAAATACGTTCACTCGGTATGTAGTGAGGTACGTCTGAGTTAGCAAGAGTACAATGCATAAGCTTGCTGGAACCAAAGGACAAGTCATAAACATCACATCTTTTTAACTTTCATGGTCTATACATAAAATTTCGCTGCAACATAAATCCGTTACAATGCACTTTTTTGAGTGTCCCGTTAATTTCATTGTGAGATTTTACTGTGCATTGAGGTCAAATAAAAGCATTCATTTTTGCTAATATGACCATTTCAAACAAGGGATATAACAACCCAGAAAACATGGCTTCAAGACTTACTGCAGTGGACGCTGGTCAGGCTCAACAGGCGTTTCAGCTGGTTCCTCCTGGCTTTTCATGTCCTCTTCCCGAGCTGCCTCTCTGTTTGGGGGTGAATGGGGCCCTTCGGAGGGTGCCTGACATCGCCCCGGCGGCGATGTCAGCACCCCCTTGAGGCCCCTTCGACCCACAGGTTCCTCCTCCCCATCCGATGTACCTGATGACGAGCTTGAACTACCTTCAGATGCCTCCTTACCCTCAGGCTTCTGCTTTTCCTCTTCATTCACGGGACTCAGCACTTGGCCTTCCTCCAGTTGCGGGCTCCCCGGTGTGCTCTCAGGTTCGGTGGCTGCATCAGAGTCTTCCTTGGGGCATTCCTCAGCAGCTGCCTTGCGGTTGCGTGATGAACGCCGCTTCGCCTGCGGTTCCTCTGGCGTTGCGCGGCGGCCATTCCGCAGCCGCCGGTTTCCAGCCTCATTGCCCTCCCCATCAGAAGACGGTTCTGATGGCTCCTTAGTGGCTCGAGCAGGCACCTGCTTGCGCACTCCTCGGCCTCGTAGACGTGCCATTTCGGGCTCTTCCCTTTCAGAACAGCTGATGTCCCCACTGCTATCAATATGGTCAACACGGCCTAGAACATATCTCTCCGTCTCCCGCTGAAAAACAACATGCACAACATATATCAGAATAAAAAAACATGAAACAAGAATTAAGAAATATGTGACAATCTATGCGCTAACATTTTATGGGATCCACACCCTTGAGCTTTATGAATAAACAGTTAAGCAGAGCATGATCCTTCAAACATTTCAGCCAAATTTTTCGATATGTTGTGAGTTTAACAAATTTATTTTTAAAAACAGGGCTTCTTTACATAATAAGCTGCAGTGATTGACTGTCTGCTAAATGACATCAGGTGAAATCAGTTGTTTAATGCCTGCCATAACTCAATCACTGGTATGATCATCCCACTAATTATGCCTGGCTACAAAAAAAGTTTCTGAAATATCAGGTGGCTTCCACATCAACATCCCCAATGCCATGTCTGCCAGTGGTCAGTCACTGTTATGATAAACCCACTAAATCTGTTTGGCCACATGGAAATGCGCATGAAATATCAGCTGGTTCTCACATCAACATCTCCAAGCACACGCCCTACCATAACAAGCCTGCAGATGCACGCGAACCTGTACACATGCACTGGTACCAGTGACAAAGAGCCCTCACCTTCAAGTACTTGTCTATTTCAATCGTAGGTTGTAGGTACACATGACAAAATACTCACAACGTAGGATGTCGTACCTAGGATTAAAAAAAATCATAGGTATGACATCCAATTATTGGCACTAGCACCAACATTACACATATTCAGCAGAAATTCCAAAGGCTAGTGTGAATTTTCTTTCAAGCCTACTCAGTATGAGTGGCTTTTAGAAGAGTTCGTCACTTCACATGACACACACACACACAAGCAGACGTGTGTTGCAGACATGATGTAAAAGCTATGCAATAAACACAATGAACTGGGCGTTGCCAATGCCAGCTCTGCCAAAGGGGTAAGAGAGAATGTAAGTATTGTTCTCCCAAAGCCTAGAATATCCCCTCTCAAAGTATCAGTGTCAAGCCACAATGTTCTTCAAACACCCGAAAATGTAATGAATGTACAGCGAAAAAACTTCCATACCAGTTTCTCTGTAATGTCTTTGCAGGCCCATTTGAAGGATGTTCCATGAGGAATGCAATAATACATTTACAGGTTGTCTCACATAACTTGAGCCAAGAAATTAGAAAATGAAAGTCATTGCAGAGGTGAACTGAACCTCTGCACACTAGCCGATTCACACTAGCCTATTATTTCAGATTATTTTTTATTTCCGATTATTTATTTCTACTCATTTAAAAATTATTGGCTGAAAACCGAAAAAATGAACTCTGAGCTGTAGAGTACTTTCAAAGGGCACAGACTGAATCGTTTCCTACATCATACACCGTTATATTAAATGCCAAGCAGTACAGACACTTTTGCCGCCTGCCTGTCCCGTCCATCCATCCATAGTGTTCCTTAAAATTAACTAGAGGGGACTCTGGCACTGCGATCAATCGGCGACCATGTGAATTATGGGTATGACATGTATTTGCCTAGTCTTCGTGCTTACCAACGGTGAACGCACTTGTGGCTTTTGTTTATTGATGTGTTTTGGTTTTGTTTTGAAGAAAAGAACAAACCATTTCTCACTTCGTGACCTTATTTGAAGTGGTCAGCCTAAAAGATTCAGGTGGTGAAGCAGAACTGCCGAACACATGAGAAAGCAGCTTCAAGCCACACGAAGCCAGAACGAACGTAAAGTACGAAGACTAGGCAAATCCATGTCATACCTATAATTCCCATGTTCGCTGAAGCACCATGCGTTGCAACTCCTATGGACACTAGCTCCAAAGTTCCCTCTAGTGTATATTTAAGAAACTCTATGCATCCATCTATCGAACCTGCTGCTTATGTCTGGGAGCTCTCGTGATAACACCCTTGGAGGAACCAATATGTATGGAAAGTAAGATGGTTTGACCAATATGACATGCTGGTCATGACATGAAGAATGTGGCAATTTCATTGCGTACGTTGTCAAACCTTGTCCGCCAAACCTGTGGCACGTACCCACGGGTGAGTGCGTGGCACAGGTGATTGGCAGTTCATCTCTACGCAGAAATGGTGAGAACAGACATTAGTAATTTTAACACGAGGCAGTAAAGAAAAAAGCTGACATCGGCAGCGCTTACCCGACGAATGCAAAGAATAAATATCAGCCCCAGCTGGAATCGAATCCAAGCTTTCTGCAGGGCAATCAAGAAGTATTCTACCACAAATCCATACCAGGTCTCGGTGCTGCTTCGGAAGAATACACAATTCCGGCGTAATAATGATGAAACCTCCGTTGTGGTAGCAATGCTGGCTATCCAATTTTATAAACTTAAAACATTACATATGTACTCCTATGGTACAGCCATCGCCTCGTGAGCACAAGCATTATGCATCAGCTTACCACTTCTTGTGTTGCTAATACTCACGTTTCTGTTGGCATCGTTAAGCAACTGCAAACGACTGCTTGTATAAAACATATGCGACTGTTCAGCATATGTCTGTGCACACAACACTTGTACATATATTTAGCATCGATTCATAAGATGACAATAAAAAAATTACAATACTGTCACCTTCTCTTCCCATAACGTCGATATACAAGGTATATGGGATCTGCTGAACTTTCCATGTTGTAAAGAAAGCTCTCAAGATTTGAAAAGAAGCCACGAGACGGACCACGAGCGCACTGCTATAGTGCTGCTCTCAAGCGTGCAACCGGTGAACGAGCTCACCTGCAGCTACCACGTTTTGATTTTTTGGTCATGCGCTTGTTAAACCAAACATCCAGGTCCATGCTCTCTTGGGGCGCATTCGTCCCTTCTATTTCACAAGACGAAGCACGTTTCGACTGATAACATGCGTCTGCATAAACGATGCACACTTTGAAGCTGTTTTGATAATTTGGTCTTCTAATATTCATTTTTACACAGCTATTGGCGTTATCATATCTTCATACAATTGCATAGCTTGAAACGCCCACAAAGTGTGCATCGTTTATGCAGGCGTGCGTTGTCAGTGAAAAAAGAAACGCTTCTTCTTATGAAATAGGTGCGTCAAAAGCACCCTGAGAAAGCACGGATCTTCAGTTACCTTCCTACATTGTCACCCCTGGCGAGCAGCCTGCGTGTCCGTAATGCCGCACATGCTCTTGTGCACACGACGTCAGAACCCGCAATGGCCGCAAGGTGTGCACTGCAGAGTAAGACCAGCCGTTCGCGCTCTCTACACAGACATGGCTGCGACTGTACATATTAAACGCTGAGATTGGGACATTAACCATGAAATGGCACAAATTTTCATTTTTTGACCGAGGAAGTGGAGAAGGATGTCCTGTCCAATTCTTCTGCAGATCCCCAGGCAAGTGTCTGCAGTGTAGATGTTGAAGCTGATGTCTCGAAATTTTCAGTGCGGAGAATACTAAGGAAGAGACAACTTTATACTTACCCCATGCAGCTGCACCAAGCATTGGAGCCTCTAGAATAGCAGACTTTGCAAACTAGATTCTAATCAAGATGGAAAAGACTAGGCTTTGCTAACGAGGTACGTTGGACCGACGAAGTCAACTCCTCGCTCAGTACTCAAATGAACATCTACAATGCTCACTATTGGAGTGACAAGAACCCTCACTGCATTTGGCAGGTGAGTCACCAATATCAGTGTTCTATGTTGGGTGTGGCATTAATGTTTAGAGGAACCAGAAAGCAAACACATGAGTTAATATAATTGCAGCTAAAAGTTTAAAGGAGCCCACAGCAGTCCTACAATGCAGCCAAAGGTGCTAGAAAACGTAAAAGTGGCACCACCTCATGGCATCTGCGTAAAAGGAGGACGCCAGAGCCCGGTCAGTTCCACCACTGGAATATATTTTAGTTAACTATAATGGTTACAGCCCAGGCCGCTTAGGATGTGGATTGTATTAGATTGACCTGTATTTATTCATTCAACTATTTAGGATGTGAATTAAATTGGATCTAATGCGACATGGATTGCTCTATCTACTATTGATTTGCACACCTCTAGTATATACTTTTCAAAAAAAAAAAAAAAAAACTACTACTCGCGTATTCTGCGTACCTTGCTTTGAACAATGACTAACATCATCACATGAACGGAGCCTTACTGCGTAATTTTCTTTCTTTCGTTTGTTCTTTTCTTTTTCATGACGACCACATGCATGTTGATGTTTCCTTTCTCTGGGCTTTGAAGCTTAGAGTTCGACAATGTCTTCAGATGCCTGCAATGAAAGCTAGGGGCAGCATTTAAAGCGATGACATTTGAACATGTGCTGGCAAGAAGGAATCTGTCAGGGTGCAACAGCTCCCTCAATTCCATAGATTTATCACAGATGCCGGCAGGTTACCTTCGTTTGTGTACTCTTCTATGGATATAGGGCTAAAAAGTAATCACAGATTTAAAATTACCATGTGAAGAAACTGAAATAAAAATTTTAGATGAAGTTGGCCAGCTCTACCCTTGAAACGCGAGCTACCAGCAATAAGTGTGTAGCTGAGGACGTTTGCCTGTGCATCGCCAATAATAATAATGATAGTAATAATTTTATAATAAAGGCATGACATAATTTGGCAAGCCTCTGCTAATTGCAGTCCTAGCCGAACCAGAAGACCTCCAAGCCGGGCCAAATCGTGGTCAAGACAAACATGCACAAATTTAATGACGCGAATTATATTGTGGTTGGAAAGTCAGATATGCTGCCTGATATGTAGAAGCAACAGACATCAACATAGTGTATGTACGAATATGGAAGTTAGGCAACGCTTTAGACAACGTTAAAGAGAAGTTAGCAAGCGAAAATTTTCACTGTCTTTTTTTACTTTAGGCTGCCACAATTGTGACAACCAGTACATTGATGAGACCACTGATTTCAAGGAAAGAGTTAACCCCCTCCTCATTCATTATCACCCAGTATCGACCATCTACAAAAAGTTTATGTTCCTCACTATTAAACAAATCATGAATATGATGTCAGGAAACTACATGACCTCATATGCCCTCGCTAAA